AAAAAAAAAAAAAACGAAATTTGTTGTTCAGATGAGAGAATTTTTAGTTTTTGAAATCGGCCAAAGTGCTGGTAATAATTCAAATAAAAATTGAAAATCTGAATATTATAAAAAAAGAGCGCGTGTTGGAAAATAAAATTTTAGGTGCGGCTCAGGTTCATTTACACCTTTTATCTGATTCGTGCAAATATATAAATCGTGCAATTTTGATGAGTGGCAGTGCATTTAATTACTGGTCATATTTTTCAAATAATAATAACGCAGAACTGTTAAGAGCAGCGTTCAAAGATGAATTGGGCAATCAAAACAGCGATCAAGATCTATAAAATTACATGACCAACGTACCAGCTGAGTCAATTGTGGTAAAAGCGCCAGCTATGGATTTCAATCAAACTGCTTTTACATTTTATTGGACGCCAGTGATTGAAGGTTTGTTTACATAAACCATGGCAAATATTTAGCAATCACATTTCTGTCTGTGATATTCTTTCAAAACAGATAAAGAAAAAGCTGTGCAACCAATTCTTTTACAAAAACCACATGAAATCTATGCAAATGATCAATTCAGCACACATTGTAGGAATGTTGAAGTTGTGTTTAGTATGACAAGTGCGGTAAGTGTATAAAACCAAGTAAATAAAACCGATTGACCGACCCCTTTTTTTATGAAAATAATGATTAACTCAAAGGAAGCACTGTCAGTTCTTGATCCATATCATCCTTATGCATGGATTGATGCATTGAAAACGAGTTCGTTCATTAAATTGCCATATCATGGACTTACGTTGGCACAAGACACAACGGTAACTATATCTCTTTTAGCAATACATTTTCTATATGCAAACGGTCTGTTTTCATTTGTAGGAGTACCAAGCAATGCAAGCCAAAATCAAGAAATTCTACTTGGATGATGGAGAAATTGAACAGACACCGGAACGTCTCAATCAATTCATTCAATTGTATACAGACACCAATTTTATGGTTCCTTTCTATGAGACAGTGGGATTGCATTCGCGAGTGGCAAACACATACTGCTATTAGTAAGACAATCAGATATTATTTTTTCGTTCGTAATTTTTACCATTATGTTAATTTTGAATGTTCAAATAATTTTAAAAAAATTCTTCTCTTTTCAATACGTTTTAGTTTTGACATTAGCTTGAATACAAACTTTGTTAAATTAACTAGAAGTTTAACTGCCATCGAAGGCATGGGACATCTCGAAGATACTGCATATTTATTCAAGTAAGTACATGATATGTATTGAATGAAAAAAAAATATTTTAATTTCATTCGATGAATTTAGAATAAATGACGTTACGTATGGCTATCGTTACTTGTACGATCAAACGTTGGCAGATCGAAGCAATGAAATCTAGAATGAAATAAATCGAAAGACGATTTGTGCTTGGAAGTTCGTTACCAAACTATTTACTGACTTTGCGAGGAAAGGGTATGTTCTGCAAATTATTTTTAAAGATTTGTTTAAACTTATCTCACTTGCTTTTTTACAAGATAAACCATTGGAACATTATCAAGGAAATGAACAACCTTGAAGGGCAAACAATTATTTTCTCAATTGTTTGGAGAATTTTCTTATCCGGTTATTTCCGGCAGTCCTCCTTTCCATCTGAGTGGGTCACAAGAGTTGTGATTTGATATGCAGATGGTACTGGCCTACAAAGCTGCACTGATGAGCTGTATACAGCGAAATCAATCACTTCGTAGGTTTGACTGAAACATGCAATTGCGTTTTCATAATGTTTGTGATTTGGCATTTTGTAATGCTAAAGATTACGTCAGTATAAGTAGTGGTTGTTCATGTCCTTGATAATGTTCCAATGGTTTATCTTATTCGAACTGTCGTAGATGAAAACAAATTAATTTTGTTTTCTTTCTTAAATAAAAATGCTTTTTTACAGTTTGGTGAAACACGGTAATCCGGTAAAATCATTAAATAACGCAAAATGCGTTAATATTACAAATGATGGCTTGCGATCGATCACTCGACCAAAAAGGAAAGCATTGAAATTTTGGACTAAGATTAAGAAATGTCTTCCGCCATACATTTTTGGCGAATTTTAAAAACACAAAAAGAAAAGAGAAAAAAAACACAAATGTTATCCAAGTAAGAAGTACGTGGAATTAAATATGGAATTCGAAAGAAAAACACATAAAATGAGCTCAATACAAATATTTAATATTTCATATCCATATAATCATTTAAACATGCTTAGACCTAAAAAGTAAATAATAAAAAAAAAACTACAGAATGTACAGGTTTCGTTTGTTGTGTACGCATCTTGAATTGACTTTAAACTCAAATATGTCTATATTCGAGAACATTTGAGATAATTTTTTGTATAGCAACATTTTCTTATGTGAACGTCAGGGTATATTGGCTTGGCCACAATTCGATTTTCTCAGCGACAATTCACGCAAATAAGTCATTTATAAGCGTTATAATATGAAAAACAATTCATTATAAACACAAAACAGGTGTTGACTCTTCATTTACGTAATTCGACGGTATTTTATCGAATAAAAAGTTTAAATAATAATTTAGGAAATTTTTTAATATATATCTCCGTAAAGACGATGTTGACGAACAAAAAATGAAGAATAAACTTCAGCACTTTTTTGTAATATTACATGATGGATGTGAAATGAATCAAAATGAATAAATATCGCTAAAACTATGATTGATCCACTACTGACAAAAGAATCAACTACATTGACTGCCATAGCTATTGCAATAGCTGATTATTGTTGGCTCAAGCGTTTTCAAGTTCATTTCGAATGTGAAATAAGCTGACGTCGAGAAAATATTTTCAGTTTTCTTCTTAAATATTTTGCAATTGAACTGCGTATTAAAAGAGAGAAAAAACAATTCGAATAAGTTTTAAGCTTGAATAAAATTGGTTAATAATGTGTTTTGTTCTCTTTCTTGACAAAATTTATTCCATTTCTAATTTTATAACTTCATTTACATTGTAGATGAAACCAACTGCTTAAATATCATTTTATTTAAAGAATTCCTGCGTAAATAATTGAATTCCTTTTATATTGTAAAAATTTTGTGTATAAAAGAAATGGACCAATGACTGACAGTGTTCGAGATAGATTTGGTTTTAAGTTACTGCCTCTGCACATTTTAAAATGATGAAGTTGGTGTTTGGTCAAATATTATTCTGGCAATTTATTGCCATTGCTTATTGTGTGTCTAAAGTTGATGAAGGTTTGAAAGTGGAAACAATTAGTGGCCAAGTTGTTGGAGTTTCTCAAAAGACATTTGTTAAACAGTTACCCTATATTTCGTACAAAGGCATTCCCTATGCTCAACCGCCTGTTGACAACTTAAGATTTGGGGTAATTTTCAATTGTTACATTTGATACTTTTGATAAATTATTGAAAATACGAATATAAATGAATGTGCCACGAATTCGAACAGGTACCAGTTCCAGTGAAACCGTGGAAAAAACCACTTGTCACCACCAATGAATATCAAAGTTCATGCCTTGTACTCGCTCAATCTGGTTTTCTCGGAATGAAATCAAATAAAAGCGAAGGTAAAGAATTTAATATAGTTCTAATTGAATAATTTATTTTATCGGAATTATATTCGAGAAAAAACCATTGAACTTTATTATTCATTATCACATGTTTCAGATTGCCTTTATCTCAATGTATATACACCAGGTACTTTCTCCAAACAAAATCATTGTTTCATTTTACAATAATTATAAATTTAAAAAAATTTCGCAGTAACTGACAAATCCAAAACAAAGAAAAACTTGTCAGTGGTTGTATTTATCCATGGTGGAGCATGGCTTGAAGGTGATGGAAGCGATTTATATCAGGGTCCCGATTTTTTGATGGAACAAAATGTGGTTTTTGTCACACTCAACTATCGTTTGGGCCCATTTGGTTTTGCCAATTTCGATACAAAAGGTTTTACGGGAAATATGGGACTCAAGGATCAACGTCTAGCATTGAAATGGGTTAAAGAAAATATTGTATTTTTCGGTGGTAATCCAAAATCAATTACTGTCGTCGGACAAAGTGCCGGTAATAATTCAAATCAAAATGTGACATCGATGTTGTTTTAAAAACAATCGTAAATTTTCTTGTCAATATTTTAGGTGCAACGTCTGTGCATATGCAAGTTTTGTCAGATGGATGCGAATATATGAATCGTGCTGTGATGTTGAGTGGCAGTGCATTTAACTACTGGGCACATTACAAAGAGAATAATCATTTTGAATTGTTGAAAGAAGCATTCAAATCGGAACTGGGCGGTAAAACCAGTCCCCAAGACATATTAAAATTTATGCGAAATGCTCCAGCTGATCTTATTGTGGCGAAATCACCAGCTATGGATGTATCTCAGAGTACTCTTGTATTCTATTGGTCACCAGTCATTGAAGGTACTCAATAATGCATCTTTTAAAATATATTCTATCCAAATTCATGTTATTTCATACAAACAGATAAGCAAAAGGCAGTTGAACCAATTCTAACGCAACGACCACGTGAAATTTATGCACAAAACAAATTCAGCGCCCATTGTAAGCGTGTAGATGTAGTATTTGGCATAACAAGTGCTGTAAGTCTTTTCAGGATATAAAAATAAGAAAATATATCTGATATTCAACTTATTTACAGGAAAATTTGTCACTACTCAATCCATACAGTCGTTATGCATGGGTTCCAGCCTTGAAAACTAATTCTCCATACATAGCACTACCATATCATGGTCTAACTTTGGCTTCTGATTCCTCTGTATTTATTAATCTTGGCTTTCCTTCAAAATTGACATAAATTAACATTTTCCATCATGTTTATCCATTTTTAGTTTTACCAAAAAATTCGAGCCAACATTAAGAATTCATACTTTGGTAATAAAGAAATTAAAGAGGATTCTGACCGGTTAAATCAATTCGTTCAAATGAGTTCGGACACTAATTTCGTTGTTCCTTTTTATGAAACAATGAATTTACACTCGAAAGTGTCAAAAACATTCTGCTACTAGTAAGTGGAAATGAAGACAAAACAAATAGTTGATCTGTCAATTTTTAAATTTGTGTGTATCAATGCATTTTAGTTTCGACATTAATTTGAATACGAACTTTGTCAAAATACCCAGACAATTGACGGATGTTGAAGGAATGGGACATCTCGAAGACACCGGATACCTTTTCAAGTAAGTGTATTGCCTTTCTTTTAAAACTATGAATATCCATTTAAAAAAAAAATCTTTCAAAAAATGTAGACTAAATGAGCCCATGTACGCTCCATTATATGATCAAACTTTGAAAAACCGTAACGATGCGACAAACAAAAAAACGATAAACGCATGGAATTTTGTAACCAAACTTTTTGCTGATTTTGCTAAGACGGGGTATGAACATATCATCATTATCATAAAATGATATAAATTTTTAATGAAAAATATCTCCTATTTCCGTTTTAGTTCATTCAATAAAATTGCTCCGGTTAAATCGGTTCAAAATGCTCAATGTGTTCATATCACAAATGATGGCTTGCGCTCAATTGCTCAACCAAAGAAAAACATTGTAGATTTCTGGAGTAAAATCAAAGCATCTCTAAAATCAGATATTGTCAATGAGTTTTAAATGTAAATCAATAAATAAAATATAAGCTGAACGCTGAAAATTATTGAGCTAAGAGCTGGAATGTAATTCTCTGATAAGAGAGAGTAGAAAAGTGTCAAAGATTTTAAAATAAAACACAATATGTTTCATGTATATTGCAACTTATTGACTTTGCCAATTTAAAGTAGAAAAGTGCTTTTAATAAATTTAAAGATTTTTATACAAGCGTTCAGGATCGCATACATTTATGCGATACATTGAATGATGCATGCATCGTTTGATGCGAATCAAATAACGCAAACACAACGCTAACGATGTCGCTGTGAGTACGGACCTGACAGCGCACGACGTGCTTATATGATACACGTAATGATGTGAATGTTCAATAAAGCAAGACCGTCGTGTGCTACTAGATCCGCACGTACAACGACAGCGTTAGCGTTATTTGATGCGAATGAAATGATGCATGCATCATTCAATGTATCGCATAAATGTATGCGATCCTGAACGCTTGTTTTTATATGACTGGAAATGTGGAAAAACAAGGCGTTCTTTCAATTATTAAGCTTTCATTGTTTATTATTGCTTTATACGGAAACGTGTAAGCTATACGGAAACGAAGTTCGGCTAACAATAAGTTTCAATTTTGCCTAGTAACAATGAACTCGGCGTGGAATTTTTATATCTTTAAAATATCTTGGCGACACATCTTTTATGGTTTTTTTCTGGGGGAGACACGAGCTCTAATATTGCTAACTTTTCCAATTCTTTTTAGTACATCGCATATAACGTGTACTTTTGACAGGTTATTCAGAGACTGTTTCTCAGAGTAATATATGCGATGAGCTGAGCGAAATATTGAAAGTTAAAAAAAATTATTCAAATTAATGGTTATTAGTTATTTTAACTTATTTAATATTTAATATTTTCTAATATTGTGAACACAAAATTTATTCAAAACTATTACGACCTATTCCAAATATATAATTCTGGTACGTTCGTTGTGACATTCCCCTTGTTGTATTATCTTCTGAAGAAAAAAAAACTACATCTAGCTAGACATCAAATAAAAATCTTATCTTTTTAAATACACAAAAAACTAATGTAGATATCAAAAGATTGAATTTTGTCTAACTCTATTGTTTGCCAATGTTACAAATTAACAGTGAATATATTCTGCTAAGATATTAGTTTGTACCTTAGCACAATGTATTCACTACCAATTAAACATTTTTCCATATTATTATCTCTTCGTCATAGCATTTAAGATTTAGATAGCATAGTTTTGAATAAAATTTCATCGATAAAAATTGTATATAAAAAAGTCAAACAATTCGAATGAAGCATAGTCGTTGAAGTCTTTAAAATAGATGATTATCTGTTTAAATTTCTTTTACATCGTATTTCAAAATGTTAAAATTAATTTTTGTAATTATTTATTCATTTATTGTGACAGTTAACTGTGATAATTTGAGAGTAAATACGGCCAGCGGCCCGATCGTAGGAGTTCTACAAAGGACATTTGTCAATCAAGTACCTTACATTTCATACAAAGGAATACCCTATGCTCAACCGCCTGTTGGCAACTTGAGATTTCGAGTAAGTTTTTAAAATAAAATCTTCTGAATTTAAAATGAAATCTGAAACGGTAATTCAAACAGGCACCGCGTGCAGTAACTCCATGGAAAAAACCACTTGTTACCACTGACAATTATCAATATTCCTGCATTGTAGTTGCTCAGGGCAAGCATATACCTTTAGACGGACGAAAACAAAACGAAAATTGCCTTTTTTTAAATATATACACACCAGGTAATTTTATGAAATACCATCGAAAATAATTGTTTCAATATATTCGCGCACTTTATCTATAGTCATGGACGATGTCAAAGTCAATAAAAGGTTACCCGTAATATTTAATGTACCCGGTGGTGGATTCAATGACGGTGATGGTACCGACGGATATTATGGGCCCGATTTTATATTGGAGCAAAATGCCATTCTTGTAAACCTCAATTATCGTTTGGGTCCATTCGGTTTTGCCAATTTCGATTTAGAAAATTATACGGGCAATATGGGACTCAAAGATCAACGCGAAGCATTGAAATGGGTTAAAAAGAATATTAAATACTTCGGCGGTGATCCACAGTCCTTGACGATTTTTGGAGAAAGCTCTGGTGAGGTTCTTTCTTTAAATAAGATCGAATTCATAACAAATTGCAATAATCTAATGATGTTTTGCAAATACAGGCGCAGCTTCGGTGCATTACCAAATCTTATCCAATTCATGTGAGTATATTAACCGCGCAATCATGTGGAGTGGTAGCGCTTTCAATTACTGGGCACATCACAAACAGAACAACCAACTGAACTTGCTAAGAGAAACTTTTAAAGCTGAACTCGGCAATCGAACAAGTCCAAAAGAAATATTAAATTTCATGATCAATGCTACAACGCAACTCATTATAGAGAAAATACCAGTTTTTGATTTTTCCAATGGTTTGATTGAGGTGAATTGGACACCAGTTATTGAAGGTGGGTATAAGCAACATCAGCACCGAAAGCGGTAATAATTATATTTTCAATACTCTTTAATAGATAAAACGAAATCTGATCAGCCAATTTTAATTGAGAACCCCCATAACATCTATGCAAACAACCGATTCAGTTTTCATTGTAAGAATGTTGAGGTTGTATTTGGAACAACAAGTGCGGTGAGTTTATAAACTATTTACTATTGAATCCAACAAGGAGATTAACAATGTGCATTGGCAGGAATATATGATGTTTCTAGATCCAACAAATCTCTACGGGTGGGTTGAACAGATGAAAACCAATCGGCTCATTGGTCTTCCATATCATGGACTTACGTTGACACCCAACGATCAAGTATTCACTAACTCGCTCTCATTGGAGAATTAACGGTTTTTTTTACCGGAAATGTGTTTTTTATTCACAGAGATATAAAGCAATGCAAACTAAAATTAAACAGTTTTACTTTGGCGATGGAGAAATTGAAGCAACACCGAAACGACTCAATCAATATGTTCAAATGAATTCAGATATTAATTTTGTGGTTCCTTTTTACGAGGTGATGAGTTTGCATTCAAAAGTGTCAAAAACATTTTGCCATCAGTAAGCTCATCATTTCAAATGTTTTCATTTATTTTCTTCATTCGTTAAATTTTTTTCAGCTTTGATATCAATCTAAATACAAACATCATCAAAAAACCGAGACATTTGGAAATGGTTGAAAGAATGGGACACCTTGAAGATATTGGATACATGTATAAGTGAGTAACGTATAAAAAGTGAACGAAATAGGTTTTTTTTTCGATTTGAAACATTTATTCATAAAATGTAGAGCGAACCAATTTAAATATATGTACGAGCAGTCATGGAAAAATCGCAGCGATGCAACTAATAACAAAACCATTGAGGCATGGCAGTTTGTAACGAAGCTGTTCATTGATTTCGCTAAATCTGGGTACACTGAGAAATTAATTTCAAATAATCATGAATTATTCAAATGATAATGGCTGGTTTTGTTTTAGGACATTGGCAAACAGTAGTCCTGTGAAATCAGTAAAAAATGCTCAATGCGTTGATATTACCAATGATGGTTTGAGATCGATTATTCGACCAAAAAAAGAATCAATGACGATGTGGGATAATGTCAGGGAATATCTGAAGCCATTTATTGTTGATGAATATTAAAAAAATGCACAACAATTTTAAAATTGAAACATAAAATTCGAGATGAAAACATGTAAAACAAAATATGCAAAGAATATATTCATTTAAAACTAGATCTTTCTGTATACAAAAAAATGTGTTTCGATTAATTTTTTTTTTGCATTATGAGGGTTTGAGTCTGGAGATCTTGAAATTGAAGAGAGAAAAATAATAATCTTAAATTTTAATCATTCTAAAAAAATACCAGAAATATGCATTACAACTGAGAGAAAACCAAGTAAAACCTTTAGAAACATAAGTACGATTTGAATTTTATGTAAAATTGAAATGTGTTGGTTGATTTCAAAGTAGACTGAATTCAGAATGCTTCATTTTCGGCTAATGCGATGCAAATGAAAATCTACACGAAAATGGGATTAAAACCCCAAAAATCACACAGTTGTTCAAGTAATCCCTTTCAAAAAGAAAAACATGGTATATTTTTCCTCCTAAAAATAGAAAATAAAAACCCCTCTTTTATACACATTTCATATGTGACCATGTATGTGCAGTAATAGCACTTGAGATTTTATTGCAACAATCGTCAATATGAAGTTATTATAAATAGATGTTGCACATGAACATGTTAGTTGTGCTTGCACACATCGAGATCGAGACATAGAGGCTAGTCAAGAGATTTGCAATTAAATGTGAACCCGGAAGGGGATAATTACAGAGATTAAGATGTGAGAACAACTGTATTACATTGATAATCATCTGGTATGAATATGTGTGCTGCTGGTCCGAATGCTTTTATCTTCATTCATAAAATCAAATGAATCGGATGCTAATGACATTCCTAATTGCAATTGGAAAATCAAAAGGCCGTCACTTAAAATCTACACAATTTCATTTTTGAATTGAATGCAGCGATCGGAAGGGGGGTATATAACTTGTTTGTGTTGCTGGTCTTTTAAAAAACGACAGAGGTAATGTGTGTTAGACACACTTTTCTAGGTAATTGTTAATGGTTTGCATGTGCTATATGTACTTATTACGACAACTCGTTCAATATTATGAGCTGTCGATAATTGCCATTTTCAATGTGTGATGTGCATGCTAGATTATGTCAGTTTGGTACATTCTTTTTTTAACTAGCCATAAAAGATAATCCAATTTCAATGCTTTAATTGCAAGCAATTCGGTTTCTGTGTTTTTAATTTCATTTTTTTCTCTCATTCTCTTCGCGTTCACATTCGATTTCATTTCGAAAATACCAACGATTTCAAGTTTTTGCTCGTTTTTTCGTGTTTGTGTATAAATAGAAATGTTTGATCTTGTGCATATTCCAATTGACTGAACAATGTTTGCAACGTATGGATTGGATAAGAGATGCAGAAAAAAAAGAGACTTAATTTGAATTTTCAATCGATATCCGTTGAATTCTTTTGGTTATTCGCTTGGAAACATGTGGTTATGATCTTCAATTTTGAAATTACTTTGTGTTTATGCATTTCTATCTCTCTCGCTCTCTGTTTAAAACTCTTGAAATTCATGTTTTACTATTTTTTTTTGCACTTTTTGCCGTGCATAATATAAAAAATATGCGCTTTTTGTAGTCTCTGTAGTCGATATGCTCCAGCATATCTAATTGAAAACAATGTTTGGATATTGTTAAGCGCAAGCAGTTGGTGTGATCAACCGAAGGTGTTTTCGATGTGTTGTGTGTGTGTGTGTGTGTGTGTGTGTGTGTGTGTGTGTGTGTGTGTGATGTGAACATAAGCATCAAGAATCATTAGTTACTCGTGTAATAACCATTTGGTCGAAGTCAACAAACACAACGCTATTTAATTCGGTTCGTCGTGTGGAGTTCACGACGTTTCCAAATAAAGAAATGAAATGTGATAAAATGTAAAAGAATCTGCAATAAAAATACTTAAACGCATACTGTGCACTTGTATATGAGATGGACACGGAGAACGATCGTTTAAAGTGTATAGTTTTTGGTGTTATCAAGATTTTACGAGCAAAGAAATAGCAACAATCGAACGATAGAGTGTGAGTGAAAGAGGGAGATAGTGAAAGGGAAAAAAAGTGCCATAGAGAACAAAAATGCAAGAAATTGTTCGTAATATCGATGCAGCTATCGAGTAAAGTAACATGAAATAAAAACGCGAAAATGGACATTATCATTTTAATAAAGAACAACAACAGTAACAATTTTTATTATCAGTATGATCAGCGAGCACGAAAACTCAGCATGGATTTCAACACATGACACGAAGGGAAAAAGAGAGAGAAAGATATAAAGATAGAATAAAGAGACAGAGACCCCTTCGTAATCGAATAACATCAAAAACCGGGTAATAACGAATCGAACGAAATCGTCCGTAAAAGGCGAAAAATATGACAACACATACCACTCACTCATTCCACGCTTAGAGTTGCACGCTCACTTTCTCTCTCTCTCTCTCTGTTGTTTCCCTTGTCTCATAATCGTATAACACAACATCGATGCGCGCACATATACTGTATTGCCAATTAGACATTTCAATGATCACACATGTAATTTGATTCGTTCACACATTTCATCGGGAACCAAACATAAAATATGATTGCCAAGCTGTCTTATGTATGGATTTTGGCCATGCTGATGCTGCTGCTACTCGATACTGTCGTTTATTGTATTTCGTCTCTTTTCACGTTTTTGTGCGCTATCTCTTTATGGTCAATTTACACACACACACATCACCGATGTTATGTTACTGATTACATTTTTTGTAGTATTTATTTTATCCGAAATTTATTGAACACAGGGCTCACAAACTCCTATCTCTCTCTCTCTCTCTCTCTCTCTCTCTCTCTCTATCACCATCTCTCGAAACGTGCACAACAAATGAAGTTCAAGCAACGCAATATTTCTACACAAAACAAAGTCACCAAAATGAAAAGAATAAAAAAGACAGAGTAGCACTAACACGATTCCAACAAACATTCACGATTGTATCGGCTCATAACGAGGTGTGAGAAATATATTGACGCTGATTATTACAAGCCCCAAAATGTAGTGTCACATGAATTGAATGTGAAGAAACCAGTAAAAAATTATACTAATAATAAAAGTGACGATGAACGTTTATTTTTTTCGATTTTCTGATTGGGCTGACTATGCGCGAAACTGTTTCAGCTCACATCCGTGCTATATTTCTTGTGGTCGTGAAAATACTTTTTCGGTAAATTTTAGCCATGTAAACGATGCACTTTAAATGGCTTATTAAATTAAGCGAGTAGTGTGTATGGGTTTTATATTTTATACGAGATTATAAACATTGTTCGAATGTATGGTCCACCAGCGGGTAAATGGTTTTCATAATGATGGGCATCGGACGTCGTCGATTGTCGACAATTTCTCATGTTAAGCGTGTTTTTATGTTTCGTACTCCGTGATTATGTTATTATTTGTTTATACATCTATGGCAATTTTTTTTTCTCTCCTCTGTTCCGTTCTTCTCTTTTACGCTCAACTTTATTCCGTTTATTTATTCGTGTTCTTTGTTTAGACAGAGAGGTCTGTGACAACTTTTTCGCACATATGCATTTAACTGGTCATTTGCGAAAGTGGTTGGAAAGAAAGAGAGGGAGCGAGACGAATGAGAGAAAAAATAATAATAATCGCAACATAATATTCAAGTCGATAGACTTCTGTTCGTCATTGCATTTATTATCATTACACCATTGGGTTCGTTTCGCAATATGAACGTTTTTCGTATCAATATCTACCGTCTTTCATCGTACATTTTGTGTGTCTTTCGTTTTTGCCTTCGCTTGTTATCTCTATGCTGTTGTGTACATGTGTCATTTCGTTTGGCTTGTTAATTTTGCTGTGTGCATGCTACAACTTCTTTTTTTTTATCGCTGAATGTTGAATGTGTGTTTTTCTGCGATAAAAAGCGCATAATTCAGATATTAGCAACTCTCACATTGCATACCAATTAAATACTTTCCACCAGTGTAGTATATATATTAGCACGCTTGTCGATAAATCTCTTGCTTGTGTCTCTCTTTCGTGTGACAATCTGGCCACGTTGACCATTTTCATGATGGCAATAAGGCCTACTCAGTGCGGCTCAATCGCAAATCTAATGCTTCGCATTTTTTATACTCTCTTTTATTTTGTTTGTGTGCAGACTTAATTTTGTTTTTTTTTTTTTGCGTCATTCACTTGTCTCTGATCTTTATCTCACACATTGCAAAGAACGACGGCTTTTTCTTTTATAGACAACACACATTGTGTGATATTCAGAAATTCTTAAATCACTTTGTGTGTTGTTGATGTTATTGATGATACACAACTCTTTATGATTATTATTGAAATATCTCGGGACGCGCAATATAATCGCTTTGAATACACAGCAGTAGCATAAAAACAACAACACACAAATATCATACAAGGCCTTTTTGAACTTCAATAAACCACACATACACACATCAATCTTTTAAATATGCTCAAGTTTCAATAGAATGAAAAAGACGAACAAAAAAATCATAGGCATTTATTGGCTTTCTTTCTTTCTTGTCACATGAATACATAATGCAAACAGACTTTTAGATATGCAATCATTTACCGCATTTTATTGGTATTATACTATTTTTTTCCAATATTTTTTTTTTCATTCTTGTTTAGTTCGTTTTATGCCCACGCCCGACTGCTTTTCTGCGAGTGAGATTACTTCGAACGGCAATTCATTTTTCGAGAGAGAGAGAGAGAGAGAGAGATGCGGAGAAAAAAAAATCAGAACAGAAATCTGTTAAATTGATAAAGCATGAAAAAAATATGGAATAAAGATACATACAACTCAAACTTTACATCCAAACGACAACTTTGACAGACATTATTCATAGATTATCTAGGAAGATTGATTTTCTGAAGAGACTTCTCTCTGTTCTTTTTTTTGTCTATCTGTCTCGCTCACTCGATCCTGGTCTGTCAACGAAAATCGTCGTTCATATTAATGCAATAGGATTTAGTCATGCGTGCAATGAAAAAACAACGACAATGAATTGGCTTTGATTTCTTTATGTCGTAGCATCGATTGCATTCACTCTCTCTTTCTGCTTTTCAATAAAATCCCGTGGTGAAAATGTCCCCCTCTTCACACATTGTTTTTTTATCTGTGCCTTTGATTGAAATCATTTTTCGTTTGTTCTCAGGCGAACAACATCCTTTTTAATCAAATAATCTCACTAAACATGAGACAACTCACAGTCGCTTCAATTCATTCGTTGTCATCTTCAATTAACAAGATATACCTACGATGCATGTGATAAAATATAATCGATAATGAAATCTAATATTTTTGCCAATTATATATATATTTGATTCGATTTTATGCTTATGCAACAATCAAGATAGCGACATATTCATACAAAGAGAAAATAATTTGTTATCCAATAAATTCCAAAGTAATTTATCTCGAACACATACACATAATCAGCTGAAATTTCAAACTTATCACTCATAATACACTTTCCGTTGAAGTCATCGTCTAAAAGACAAATAGAAACAATTACAAACAAAAGAAGTGATTCGTTTTTCAAATGTCGCTAGAAATGTATGGAGAAAGGTCGGAAGCAATATCAACATTGAATTAAATCGACAAAGTATCAAAGTTTTCGGCATTTTGAGCGATCGACGATAAAGTTCACTCACTCAATTCAAAAAATATATAAAAAAATTGTCTTGTATTCAAGTTTATCATGTTTGCGACGCAATGCATGTATGTAAACCTTGACTGATTGGTTCTCGATACGCTCTCGCCCGCAATATAACAAATCAACAAACCAAACAATAACTGACGACAAATACAAAAACCAAAATCAACGATATACACAGTCAACGAGCATACGTAGATGTTTGATACTGATTTTCAACTCTACCTTTTCTATCTTTTGTTGTGCTCGTCAATGCCACACATCTTCCACGGAAGTGCTTTACAGCGATGATGTTCGGCAGACAAACGAATGGAAACCTCTATGTTTTGCTGTCTCGTTTTTTTTTTGTTATTGCTTGTCTTCTGTGAAACTTGGAAAAACTCCGACTAGATAAAATGCTGTAAGTGACAGGCCAAGAGTAAAGAATGCAACAAACATTGCAAATGTTATTGAAATAATAAAGAAAAACTCAATGAATGTCAAGCGGGGATTGAAAAAATCACTCGTCGACGATTCGTTTTTTTTTTTCGATTCGTACTTTTTTTTAATAGTAGATTGAAATCAATTTTATAATGTTCATTCAAGAAAATTAATTCGAGCGGCCAATGGACATTTTTTGAGTTTCGCTATTTTGAAAAATTGTTTCATTGAAATGTTTGAAGTGACATGTTTTTTAATCTTTGGTAGCATAAACAATGGAAACCAGTAGAAAAATTGATCGTCACCCATAAAAATGTTGTAATAAATTATTGATGTACATTTTTCATTCGATTTTTTGCTTGAATATCACTTTTTCACTTTTGTTCAGCGCGTGTCATATTGCAGAAATTCATTTTCGCATGGAAAAATGTGTAGAAATTCTGTACAAAATTACCGATCGCAGCAAACTGCCGCCATCGACGATGACGATGAAAAGAACGAGTGAATGCAAGTGAAACAAAATCAAATAAAAGGATTAAAGTAAACAATATTCCATGTGCTTGAATTTCTCTATGTATTAAGTCGTTTAACTACTGATAGCCGCGTTTTACGTTCTATGTAATGTGTGTGTGTGTGCGCGCACGATGGCGTGTATGTGTTGTTTGGTGAATGTTTGGATTATATTATTATATTTATCGAACGGCGTTTGACTTCAGCAAGATTAATGTCTTTACATTAAACTCTCTGCTGTTTCATGTTATTACTTTCCTAGTTGCTGTCGACGTTATTATTGGAATTATTGCTTTATTCCGAGTTTTTTTTTTATTTATTTATTTCATCGTTCCCGTTCTTTTCATTCGCTTTCTCGTTAGATCCAATTTTTTTTTGTTTCGTTCTCTCTCTGGCTGATTTCATTATTATGATTCTTTTTGCTTTGCCAGCAATGTGAAACATGCAATACCAAGAAATGATAAAAAATAAAATAAATATAAAGTATTTTCTTATAATAAAAGGTGAATAGAATACTGCGGTGGTGAGAGTGAGGAGCGCAGAGGAGTCGAACGAAAAATGAGTATTCGATATTTCATGTTATTCTTTAGTTTTTATATTCTTCAATGCTCAACAAGTTATATACGAAACTAGAAATGAAAGAGCGTTTTTTTTTCTCTCAATTCATAAAACGCTTTAAATGGAATTTGTATTTTCATTTTACATCAAAAACGTCCGTTGTTGGTGGCTTTTCTTAATTTCACTTTGCAACTGAATGGAATTCAAAGGAGTTTCTCGGTTTTTAGATTTGTTTCCATCAAATATAGCGTTTAACTTCCGATTGAATGATGTTGTATTGAATAAAAACAATCACCACACAAATCAATCATCAAATATGTATTGAAGCAAAGATTTTAATCGCTCTTTTTCTATACATCAATAAAACATTTTTGTAATTAGTGTGACTTGGTGGTGGTTTATATTTTATTCATGGCACATTCACAAATTGGAACAAAAAAAAAACCTGAAATAACGGAATCAAATGTGAAGACAATGCGACAATAATGTTACGATTAAAGGCTGTCCCCTTTTAAATTTCTAATAAGCCTTATGCTTTTAAATCGCTTTATTTATATACCATTTCAAGACGTTTGTTTCGGCTCATCATTTCAAGATGGTTAGAGTAATACTGTTGTCGGTTATTACACTTTTGTCGTCATTGCCGAGTCAATTGATCCTTTATCATAAAGGGATAAACGTATCGATTTTCTATTTTCGTTTCATTCACTTCAAATTGTGACGTGAAGTAATAAGACATTTTACATTGTATCAAACAAAACACAAGAATAATGTAATGAAACAACTCGAAAGGGGTAAACACTGTTATCAGAATTTTTTTGCATCTTCTGATCGATTCATTCAATATGTATTGACATCATTTTGTTTAATTTGTATTGATTTGAATTCACTTCAATGTGGCAACCATTGATTTTGCTTTGAGGCTGATTTAAAAATGACTCTCCCAATGAACTTGATCACATTTGAAATTAAAGTAATGTGATTTATTTGTTTCATGTTCACCCCTAGCTGAAGCCATTCAGGACTATAAAAAATGAAATGGACACATAAATAAAAGCCAGGAACACATCTAATTTAACAGTTCATTTAAAAGAAAATGTTCAAAAATAAACATTCACATACGTTCTCTAATTACGCGTATTCATTCGATAAATTGATATGATTCCATTGTTTTCTTTTTGATAAATGTCAACTATTTTACTTACATGGGAATCAATCTATTTTTTAAACAAAAAGGATTGATTATATATCAAAATGTCTAACCTTTGCTTATGACATTAGTGAATGTTCATTCACACTTTATCGATACTTATCATTGATTCAAGGCTAATTTACTATATCGAGATTATATTAGTATAATTATATTTTATATACAATCATAATGACAATTTATTAGCCGAAAACTTACCCAGTAAATGGAGTTTATGGTGTCCGATCTGCAATAAAAAAAAGAACAAGAAAAGAATGAAATAAAATCGAATATAATTTCACTGTTAATTTCTAATATCGTTGTATAGGGGTTAATTAATGTAGACGGTCATTAGTTTGAGCAAAAAAAATGAAGTAAACTGAATATTGTACTTCACACCACGCGGCATTTGAAATGAGAGACAAAGAAATAAAAGCGAAAAACAAAACAAAAATAATTGTTGTGAATGAAAACAATAATCCGGAATCATTTGTTGCTGTTGTGTTTTGTCGCCGTTTTCCATTTAATTGAATTTACGATTGAGTTGATGTGCAAATATGTCGGCAAACCCTCTTATCGTATGTATGTGCTTATGCGTTGTGTAAGGGTAAATGCGCCCGCATTACACGGTCCGGAGTTGTTTACAGTATTTGCAATAACAAACAAACACTGAAAAATGATGACAAAATTAAAGGGAACCGGAACGAAGGATCGAGACCAAAGAAAGACAGCTGGACAAGAAGAATGCACGAAAAAGACTTCGAGGATCGAACTCTTGCTCCCATGTATCTTTCTCTCTCTCTCTCTTTTTCTCTAGTTTGCTCAATTTAAGTTTTCCAAATGAGAAAGGAGTTTCAAGAACTACAGCAAGGGTAAAAAAGGATCTCAGTTACATTTCAAAAGGATTGCCATCTCAGCTGATAGAATAAGAGTGAGTGAACGAGAGAGAGAGAGAGTTGAAATATACAAATATTTTGTGCATGCTTTGGCAAATGTAAATGTGAATCCGTTTATTTTTTTTTTTTCGTTTTCGTATACAGAAGACGTATTGCAAACGATTGGTCTTAATTGTAGCTAAATAGTTAAAGTATGGTAAAAAAAATATCGTGAAGCATCTCAAAGGGCCATTATCAAAGTGAAACCATCGTTATCCTTTTCCATATAATTTCCGTGTGAGTGTGTGTGTGTGTATGTTTGATCGTACGATTCGTTCAAACAACAAAAACAACGAAAGCAATAACAGCGCATCGTTTTCATATTACCAACATGTAACTCGCACAAAAATACAGAGGACGTGGTATGTTCCACCGTAATCGGCTAGCAATTTTGATTTTAATAATATCAAAGAAAATTCCGGAACGAAGAAGGATTCGAGTGAAGTGAAGCAATATGTAAGACGAAAAACGATTGCTTTGTGCTTCCCCCCCTCTCTCTCTCTCTATTTTTCTCCTTCTCTCGACAGTTTGCACAACACATTTGTAGAAAATGATTTTTCGAAATGAAATCTCTGGCTGCACGCTGTTTTCCAGCTTGAGTTGAGCTGCTATCTAGCAACGTTTTCTCATTTCAACTCTTTTTCCGGCATCTTCTTTTTCATAATTCGCTTGTTTTTCTATTTGTGTGTCTAACGCTTTGCGTCGCATTTTATCCGACGATGTTTCTTATCATTGGCTCTTTAATGTGAACACACAATGCATAAACAACGATTAGATGCTTTTTGCGAGGCGAAACGCATTTCCTTTTTCTATACTGTTGCTTCCCAGTCTTTCGATGCGATGCTAAATTTTGATTTGCTTTTCACACACTTTGTCATGAGTTCAGAATTTCCGAGTGAATACTGAGAAAAAAGAGGCGAAAAAAAACCAAACGAATTGAATGGAACCATATTTGAAAGTATTGTTGGTGTTTTTTTTTTTGACGATGGAATTTTGCAACCCCATCTCTTTATAGTATCAATGCTTTCTCTATCTCCAATCTCGCTCACTTTTTTTTCGCTCTATGTTCGGCTCGAAATGCACTTAAGCGCAATTTAATATCCTCTTTAGCCTAATTAAGGAATATTTTGTGCAAACGAAACTGTTTCGCTTAATCTTCATTATTATTAAGATTTTTTTATACCACTCTCTCTCTCTCTCTCTTTTTCACTGTCGTATGTTTTCTGTTTTGTGTGCACCATTGCCACTGCCATTGCCCTTGTCAGCACTTGCCAATGATTTGGCTTTTGTATGGTGCATGCTCGCCGAGTTCTGTTTTTTCTTCCTTCTCTCGATTCTCTTTCACTTTGGATGTGTTTTACCTTTATTCAATTCTGAATACACGTTGTTAACAATACATTCGAGTAGCTTAAGAAGGAAAGCCATAATAAACAAAGAGAGAATTTAGTCGCAAATTTAGTACAAGAAAACACACCGCGAATCACAGAACGAGCGCGTATAAAATGCAATGAAAAGTAAACAGAGGAGGAAGAAACACACTGAATGTGTTGTGCGCCATAAGATGAGATGTTTTTCGCATGAATTCAAAACGGGATAATACGTTGCGACCGCGTTTAAAAAGAAAGAAATTTTGTTGTTGCTGATGATGATGATGATGACGACGACGACGACGACGACGGTGTATCTTTTGACTCTTTCAACGCCGTATTTATGTATTTAATTTGGATTTTGGAATTTAAAAATAAATATCATAGTTTAGTGTCTGGCCAAAGAAGTTAAGACGACACTGTTATTAAGGAGAATGATGTGAGCACGAACATGCACACGCGCAAATGGCGAACAAGCAAGGAAGAATTTTCTTCTTTCGCATCGTTCGCTTCTGAAATTAATAGAAGTAGTGAAAATAGCATGCAGATGGATACCATTGAAGCGTAAACGTATATCAAAATGACGATGAGATTTTCGGTTGAATTTCTATGCGAAAATCCTTTTTTAATAATATCTTTTTACTTGAATACTTTGAGAGGAACGGTAAATTTCATTTACTCGTGTTTTTTTTTCAGAGTCGGTTTTCATTTCTTTTGAAATTGCGAGTATATATTCGGCACGAAATTAAGGTGACGAAACAAATAACAAAGAAATCGAGATTACAAGCTTTTCGGTCGGTCCATGGGATAGGGAATACTTTGCGAAAGTTATTTGCAGCCTGAGCCGTGTTTATATGCACTCAAATAATTTATAATGAAATGAACTGCAAGCAACATCAACCAAAAAATACTGTCATCCAAAATACTGATAATAACATCAACACAACAAATGTATTTTATGTTCGTTGCGTATTATCTGCTCTTAATACATGTACTTTGGTCACATTGTATGCGACTCTGTTTTGTATGTGATACACGGCCATATCCTCACATTTTTCTCGCTTTTTCTTTCTATTCCCTTCGCGTTTTCAAAATGAAAAGGGGATCCACAGAACAATTTCAAGTATTTGGTGGCCACATCTAATTTCGAGGTGATATTTTGTTGTTGTTTCATTCATTCATCTTCGTGCTTTATTTCGCATCATTGGCAATCTTGCATCTGAATTTAATTGCATAAGAAGCCTTAAGGGATTCTCTCTCTTCAATTAGATCCATGTGATAGCATTACGCTCTTTTTACCCTGGTTGTTTTGCCCATTGGCAGGCACCGATGAACTATAATCATTTCGACGCTACTTATATTTGGTCGTGCTCTTTATTCGCCATATCTCTCTCTCTCTCATTCACACATTTTCTCGCTCAATCACTTGATGCTACTCTATCTCTTTCTCTCCCATAAACACTTATATTTGAAAACTTGTTCAACATTGGTACTTATTAGATGTGCTTGTTGGCTCTCTTGGTGTTGCTCTTCAAACAAAGAAAAAAAAACTATGACGATTGAGTAGATTACAATGCATTGCAAGCAATGGCAATGTGCGCACACACCAAAGCAATGAAACGCAACATATCAATCCATCAACGCACCGTAATGAAATGTAAAGAGGCTATGTCTACATGTCATCAATAACAATCATCATTCATTCAATTGCATCATCTCGTTGCGAAGAAAATCCTTTTTTGGTGTGGTGTGATGCTATATCGTCGTAGAAATGTTTCCTCTGTATAGCTAAATATGTCCGGGACCAAAACGAAATGGCGAATTCAATGGGGACCAATGGCAAATGATAATAATAATAAAAAGGATTTTGTCTCACAATATTACCGGCAAATGCAGAAAACGACATCATATATGTATGTATACACCCAAACACACCCGAACTCATCCTCATCGTGTCACACGAAATGTTCCATTGACAGAGATAATAAACGCATCGCACATATTTCACGAATGTGATTGAACATAATACCCTTCAATGTAACGAATGCCGTTGTTTAGCAAAAACGCATTGGGCAAAATGCACCCACAAACGTAAATCCAATTACAATGTACTTTGTAAATCACTAACTGATCGAAATAGAAGATATCGTCGTAGTCGTAGTCGTCGTCGTCATCGATGCGAACGATGCTTATTTTAGCGAATTGATTTACAGTCGACGAATATTGTGCAGTGTGCACCGTTCAATCACCAAAATTGGTGAATTGTAATCGACAGAATGAGTGTTTGTCACACCGAATCTGTATGTGCACACTGCACAGTCTTTAGTTTGTTACGAAATTAATCAATTCGCTTGAAAATTAGTCAGCTTTTTTGGTGTTCATGACACAGTTGGTGAGGGCGAAGTGGTTATGGAAAATCCATTAAATATCGATTGAAATGCATTTCACTCAAATACCGGTGTGCGCAATCACTTCTATCAAGGCACAAAAGCATTCGCTTTCATGTTGCCGCTTCATTATGTTAACAAGCAGGAAATCAAAAGAGAGAAGGATCGACTTGTGTCGTTGTTTCAAGCCGAACTCCTTTGTTGTTATACTCCCACGAATTCGAAAAACAGGCATTTCCAACGTACTCAAACATTGATTTTCAAACCCAATCCGAAAATGATGTAATAATATTGATTCAGTTCGATGATGCTACAACGATACAGGATCCAATAACGCGTGACATATCTAAAATCTTAACAGTGGAAAATTAAAAATCTCGCTTCAATATGGCTCTCTCTCTCTCTCTCTCTCTCGCATACTTGATGCAGTGGTTTTTTGTGCATTTGCAATTTCGTATTAGATATTCAAGCTATACTGAAGTGTATCTATGCACAATAAGCAAATCGTGAACATGAAGTCGGGCCACTCATCGATACAGGGACTGTGGAATAAGACTA